TATTTTGTTTACGCTGTCTCTTCATTCTGGGCTCTGGTTTTCTTTGGTGACAGCCTGGTAACTTTTTCCTTGCTTAGCAATAGACAGCATTCTCCTGCAGCTGCCTGAGGGAAGTGAAGGAGGAAGAATAGTGAATGGTAACCATCTGTCTGCTTTTCCTTGGATGTGGAGGGCATCTCTTCTACAATGGTCTCAATCTCTCTCTGAGGGAGAAAAGTGGCAAAGATACTTCTGAGCATGGATCTTCCATGTGGTACCAGCCAAGCCAGCACACAGGCGGACCGTTAGTACTTGAAACATTCTGCTCTTGAATATACAAACAGCTTTTGTGCCCACAGCGGTTATCTGTGATTTGTGTTTCTTGTGACTGCAGGCAAAGAAGGCAGCAGTTCTAGAGGAGACACAGCGATTAGATTATTTTCCCCAGCTGGCTTAAATTGTCCTTAACAGGCTTCACTTGTTCAAGAGCTGTTTAGGAGAATGAGCAAAAGTGGTGGCTTGGTGGTGGTAGTTTTACTATATTAATGATTATGAGATTGAAAATTATATAATACTGGATTCCAGGCCTTGCCATTGAAATATTGTAAACTGAATATTTTGCATTTACAGAAGTTCTTCAGAGATGTTGAATTTTAAACTGTTCAACAAGATTCATAATGAAAATCTTCATTGTATTGTTGCATCTTTTTTTTTTTTTCCTAGAAATTGGTTGCCCAAATGAAGCAAGATCCACAGGTAACTTTATTTTCATACTGCATTATTTATCTTTTAAAAATCCATGAAATAACAATGCATGAAGTTTGAGTATTTTAGATATTTCTTGGTCATGTTCTTCCTTGCTAACACAGTGTTTAGAAGAAAACTATTGTGAACAAGTCTTTAAGCAATGACTTAGTTTTAAAACCAAAACTTTAGCATTTATGGAGCCTTTTGCTTCATACTCTTAATAGTTTAAATCCCATGACTCTTGCCATCAATGGTGCAGTTCAAACATGCAGTAAGTTTCTGATTCTGCTGGAAGCTGCTCTTTATAAAATCTATTATTACTAGAATTTGCTTTTTTCTTTTTCAAGTGTCAGAACATTTACAGTTGTGCAAGAAGAGATAGCTTATCCCATCCAAGAAATTTTATCAAAATAAATAACTAACTTAAGGCTGTGTTCAGATTGCCTGGCCTTAGGTATCCAACTTTAGCACTGTAGTGTCCAAAAAGTGGGCACTTGGCTCTGAGATGTTTCAGAGCAACCTAAGCTGGATAACTAGACTTCTTGCGTAGACAGCAGAAGTCATCCTTTTCCCAATGACTGTGTAAGGAGACGGGGTTATCTTGTACAGCAGTTAAGCACTCCAGTGTGCTGAATGGGGAGTTCTCTAACCAGTCTGAAATGTTGAGTAGAGGGGTAAAGGCAGCTCACTGAGGCTTCCTGTTAAGTGCCTCCATCGCCATACAACACTGAATGCTGTGTAATTTTCTGAGCATGTATTTTTCTGAGCCCAGTGTAGTGGGAAGACAGCTTTTTGTAACAGTCAAGTAGTTACACCCCTGATGGGGAGGGATAAGCAGGAAGTAGGGTAGTATGGGAAACTCTGCTTTCTAGAGCTTCCTTATTCTGATGGGATTTGGGTATGGTCTGCTACTCTTACCTGCTGTGCAAGCCTGCTAACAATTAGCCTGCAGAGCAGTTTGCTTTCAGCTTGTATCTGCTGAAAGCCAGGTCATGCTGCAAGCAGCCATGCAAAGTTTCTGGAGCCAGAAAGAGAAAACCTGGTCCCTGCTTCCAGTGTTCTTAATGCATTTTTATCCCAGATTGATAAGTGTAATCTACAAGAAGGGAGGATGACTGCTCAATATTTGGTTTCGCTAAAATTCTGTGTATATAAACAAGACTATTTACAAGCTGAGAGTGTAGTGCATTTCAAAGTTATATGGAGGAATATAAAAATAGGGAAGCTGTCCTGAGCATGAAGGTCCTGTAATGATATTAGTCCTGTGTTTTAATGTTTCCGTGTGGTGCAGCAAACCTGTGTAATCTAGTGTAAAGAGTTTGCAACACAAATGAGGACAAAAAAAAGTGGAAAGAGAACAACACAGGGAAGATTGCTTCCCCATCACGTTTCTACAGAGCTTCATAGTCTTTAAACTGAGGACAGATTTTTTTTTTTTTTTTTTAGTAGGAAAGAAATAGCCCTGGTAAACTGTTTTCTGACTGCGTCTTTATAGTGATGCTTACGACTTTCAAATCTTAAATTTAAGAAAGTGCTATTGTAAGCAAAGTGCTGATGCAAATCACGTGCTAAAGCAAATGTAATTCTCTTAAATACAGTCTAAGGCATAAACATACATAGAAAAGAAGACAAATATCTGTTTGCCTTCATTTGACATCTGTCAATTAAGATTTAATGGTTATGTTTGCTCTCCACAGTCAAATGTATGATAATGTCTTTTCATAAGTAGCATAGGTGAGAATGCTTTAGGTAACACACCACAGCATGCTATTGTGTACAATATGATACTATTGTATTACATATTAACAGACAGTTCTTGTTTAATTTGTAAGCTTGATGAAATGTGTAAATGCGCTTTATAATGCAGTAAGCACTAATGGATGTTTTAATGAAACCTTCATTCTAAACTGGGTTGTCTGAGTGCTAGAAAAGTCCTCTGCTGTTGTACTCAGTGACTTAAGTAAGGCTTTGTTGAGCCTCTTGAATTTTATTGGGGCTGTACATCCAGAGGTGCTGTATTTGTAGTGCAAACAAAAATACCAAACCAACAAACAAACAAAAAAACCTACCTTCCCGCTACTACTCTATGTTAACAAACGGAATATCTTTCTCACAGATATTTTTTCTTTCTAATCAGAACGCTGATTTGAAGAAACAGCTTCATGAACTTCAAGCCAAAATCACAGCTCTGAGTGAGAAACAGGTAGGGAAACAGATATATTTTTAACACCTCATTCTAAAGATGTCTCTTTTCCCAGCTTCCAAGAGAGCTGCTAAATTTTAAGTGCAAAATAAGTGTGGGCAACCAGACATTTTGGGTTTTTATTTGATTTCTCAGCAAAAGATAGGATGAGTTATTGCAAGTCTATCAAACAAGCAAATAGTGTAATCAGTGAAAGCTATAACAATTTCTCTCATGTTGAAACTAATGTTTTATATTAAGGGAGCTGGGAAAATGAATGAATTTTGTCACTTTATTATCATCTTGAAACTTACTCTAAACCAGACCATTCTGGTTTAGGCAAATCTTTAGATTTTTGTCTTAGTTGGTCCACACCGTACATATGGATGAGTATGCTGAATTTTTCTTTGTGTCTAGACCAACTAAATTCATGTCCTAATTCATACCTAATAGACAATCTGGAAATTAGTTGTGTGTGTTTACCATGATACATTACACCACAATTGTCTTGCATTTGCCATTTAGCAGGAATTCTCTTTGACAGATATAAAGTATGAGTGATAATTACAACTGAATGTTTAACAAAAATATTGTGGAACTTGAAGATGCGTCCTGTAGGTAACTATTTAGAAGAAAAGTAATGCTGAGAGATCTACAAAACCTGTTCTCACGTTTTTGTTTTAGAGCAACACACACAAAAAAACCTCATAGACAATCTCCCCCTTGCTCCCAAACTAAACTGACTTAAGCAGTCCCTTAATTCTATTGCTATTGTGTCAATAATGGAACCAAATTAGGTCAACAGATGACACCTTTGAAGAGGGAAAACTTGATAGAACGTGTGCATAGGTAAGAATATAGTTCTGCACTGGTGTCACATCTCAATATCTGCATTCATCTGTTATCTGTGTGTATTCTGAGAATTACCTTTCCTGAGGACATGGGCAGACAGTGATTAACATTTATCTAGAAATTTCGTTCACTAAAAATTATAGTATGTTTTAGTAGTGGAACAATGAGTCTAGGAAGGAACATGTAAGGATAATAAAGAAAATGATTTTTTAATGAGAAATCTAATTCAACAAAAACTGAGGTTTTGCTGATGTGATGGCATGCCTCTCTTGAAGGTGATTTATTCTCTAAAACCAGCATGAGCCTCTGCATGTGGCTATGTCTCACAGCAAGCAGTTTCAGAATTCTTTGGTAAGCTTGATGCCACAAAGCAAGTCATGTTGACTACCAGGTCACATGATCAGCAGGGATAGGCAATGAGATAGTGAGTGGAAGGTAAGAAAGAAGTAGGTTAAGTTACAGTAAGATATACCTACTTCTTTTTTTTTGATTTCATAACCCTTTAAAGTTACGGTACAGAGTGGTCTATACTAACATCACCAGAAATGCAGCTGTCTTTTCTGCTGAAAATTACAGCTCAAAGTACTAAAAGGCACTTGTTAGTGTCATGGATGTGGGCTAAGTGTCCAAAAGACTTTGACAAATAAGTTTCTGACTTAACTTCCACCACACAGCAAATACAGTCACTATGAAGTCAGAGGTCCAGTTTTCTTCTTTTTATTTTTATGGGTTTGAAATAGAACAGTGAACTTCTCTGACTGTTGAAGTTTAAATATTTTGTTGTATCTACCACTGGACCAGAGAGCTGCCAGTGTCCCAGATGATAGTGTTGTTAAAAGTAGTATGGCTGCTAAAATGCAATGGTCACGGCCCCACAATTTCTCAATGCAGGGAAATGCTCACTCTCTCTTATTTGTAGGAATCTGTTGCGTTAAGACATCTGTGGCTTAGCAATGCAGAGTTGAGCAGTATTTTAGAGACTGCAACAAAGCCCTTTTTTCTGTTCTCTTTCATTTCTCTTTAGGAAAAATAATTATTATCAGTTGTTTTATGGGGAGAATATTATCCAACAGTTTAATTTTCACACAGCATGGAGAAATGCGCAGTTTTGCATAGTAAATAAATAGTAAATAAACGCTTTACATTTCTTAAGGAGGAGTTCGATGTGTTGTCTGTACTCATTTAGAACGAGTAAGTAGTCTTGATGTCTGATACTCCATGAATAAACTCTGAGAGCCTAACTGCCCTGACTGTGGACAGTTATGGGAGGATAATTGTCACTGTTTGATGTTTTTAATGAAGTGTGAAAAACAAAAGTTCCAGCTTGTGTGTTGTCCCTACTTGGAGACAGTGGTGTGGAGCTGAGACCCTGGTGTTAGAGAGGCAGAATACTGCAAATATTTCTGGCTTCTGAAATACTATGTCAGCCTAACTTACCCTTTTTCTTTGCTCTCTTATTTAATGAAATTGCATGAAGACTTGTGCAAGAACCAAGTCAGTGGTAGGTTAGCTAAAAGCTTTTAGCTGCTTTAAGACTTTTCTCCATTTCTAAAGCATTGTGAGAGTAGTGCCGACACTTGCTGCCAGTCGCTGCAGTGATTCATAGTGGCCTAGGTTTCTTGCTGAGAATTAATAATGACAGCTCTGTTCAGAAGTTTGTGAAATTGAAGAGATCTGGCAAAGCACAAAAAGAAAGCAAGTAGGCTGTGCAGCGGGCAGGCTTAAACATAAAGACATTTGTTAGCTGATGTGAGGTTGAACTTTTACAGCATAAGGTATGTCATATATTCATGGTTTTTTTGAAAATGTGAAAGAGGTGAAAATAAATGCTTTGATTTGTTTCACCTAAGAGATGACGGAGCAATGTATGCTGATTGCGTTATCACATGGAAGAAAAACTTCAAAAAGGAAAGAAACTTATTTGATGATAATTTGCGTTTAAAGGGCAGTAAACTTGAATCCTTCAGACTATTATTTTCCTCTGCTAGTCGTCTTATGTTATTACCATGGAGTTCTAAACTGTGCTTACCTTATTTTTCTAATCTGTGAGCCATAATGTGAATTCAGTTTAACTGTCTTGTTCCTCAGCTATAAGTGGGAGTGCTGCAGTTTGGAAACCCTGAATGCACTGGGCTTAAAACTGGCCACCTCCTTCTTCCCCCACCCCTCACTTCAATAAATAGAAGTCAAGAGTAACTTTTTTCAAAACAATTTTAATTGCCAAATCTAAGATTGAGTTGTGAATACGAATCAATTCTTGCTGTGTAGCACTGGGGTTTTTTACTACATTTTCACATCTTTGTAAGAAAGTTGTAGTCTTAGCACACTTTCTTTCAATTTGTATTCTATGATAGTGTCTTCCTTTGGCATTCTCTTTTGTAGACTTTTACCCTCAATTACCTATCGCTACTCAGCTTTTGTCTGGTTTACAATAAAAAAACCTGAAGAATGTTTTTCCATGAGGAAGTTTACCAGTGTGTACTTTGGGGAGGTGGGGCAGGGATTGTTACCAGTGACACTAGTGAAAGACAGATCTACCTCAGGGCTAACATAAAGGAGCAGGAGGGATGTAATCTTGAAGTAACACCTTTTTTTCTGCTTCTTTCCCTCAATAGTTAATTAAAAAAACTATAATATGATCTTGCAGATATATCATAATTGAGTATGTATCATAATACTACTTTTTTCCAGTGATGGGGAAAAAGTCATGCTTAATTGACTAAAGAAATGCAAAGAAGCAGGCAGCAAACAAATGCTTTTTAGCAATATCATGTCAAATTGTCAAATGCAGAGATTTCTACATCTGTCCTTATCACAATTTCTTGGAAAAGTTGGAGCAACATTCTCTCTTAAATGTGGAAGAAAGCTTACAGGAAGAGTCTTTTGACCTTATGGCGAAAAGGTGATGCTAAGCATATACTTAAGAAATTGCATGGCTCTTTCTGCTATATTTCAAAATAAAATGAAAATGTCTCTTATTGTAGTTGCAGTGAAATTAATTGAATCTTCAAGAAAAGTCTTGTGAAAATTAGACATGTACTGTAATGCATTTGCCTTTGACATGGAAAGAATAAAGTGTGCATCCCTTTGTTACTTTGATTTCTCAAGAGCTGTATACACTTGTAGGAAGAAGTGCTCAAACATAGTTGTTAGCATAGGGATACTTGTGGTTTTATTTTTCGTGGGGGAAAATGTTTAACATACTTTACTGTGAAGAGCAGGTGAAACTAGAATATAATCAGAAAAAATGCCTGCCATAAAAGCAAGATTATCTCTATTATTATAGGTAAATCTAGTGACTTTTTCTTTTATTTAAAGCTTCCAGCAAATTGAAGTAGTTGAGGTTATTCGAAATCATGTATGTTCAGAGTGAGACTCGTTTTAACCTTGCCACTAAATAGCAAGTAATGGGAAAGGGGATTGGGGGGGATTTAAAGAATAGTAGTGTAATTTAACTATGGTTTTGTATAGTTGAAGAAATGTAAACATGTGGTTTAGACTGACAAAGGAAACTTGTTATTTAAGTCTTCAAAAACTGTCAGGAATAGGTTTTAGCATTAATGTTGCTATATTTATTACAGGTACCATAACTGAGTAATGAAAAGATTGGTAATGTGCATAAATTCATCCTGTGAGACTGTTCTTCTTGAACGCTTGTCAATCATAGTAAAGGTGAATTTTTACGGAGGCTTTTTGAACACATTATCAGAAAATTGTACCCGAAACATATTCCATCATATTCTGTAAAGAGGAAAGGAAGTGTTATGGTGAGAGGAAAGTAAGTGAAAAGAAACTAGAGAGCAGGAGGGGAAAGTGGGTACAGTTAACAGACAAAAAAGAGCACTTTGAAATGCTTCTGCATAAGAAGGTAGGCAAGATATGCCTGTGTGTTGTAGATACACCTAATAAATACCATTAGAACTTTAGGGCTCAAAATCTGAAAATAAATAATGAAGTCAGTCACTTCTCCTGCCAGTTTTGTCTGGAGTTTCTAATCCCTCCTTTCCCCAAGATCCATCAAGGGCATATTAAAATGCTAGTTATTCTGTCAGTAATGGAGGAAGTGTGCAAATATGCCATATAAATGTGTAGTAACTAACAACTTGAGGCAGGTGATGCTTAATTTTGGTTCCAGTTGTTTATCCGGAACTGTATGTATTACCTATCTT